AATCTTGTCTCGCCACACCCCTAATTGTAAGTTAGCTTTGAATATCTCTGCGACAGAAGACGAGGAGCATTCTTTGTATGTGGATCTGCCTAAGACATATTTGGGTGATCCTGTTCTTGTCGGTGATGTCTGTACTGATGTGTCACGTGTTTGTGATTTGGAGTAAGCATGGAGTTTGGTATTTTATATATACTATGGAATGAAGAAAAGAGTATCTGTTGTGATTCTGTGGAACTATGGGCAGAGAGGCAGAGTAGTCCCGCAAATAAACTTGAGCTTTTCTGGAACTCCTACGGTCGGTCAGCAGATGATTTCCAGTGTTTTCTCCTCTATCATGAAACACCAGGCTGATTTCCAGTAAGGATGTGGTGGGAGATCTGCTCTCAGGTTCAGGCGTGTCAAAGGCTTGTTCAGTGCGAGCGCATGTAGGAGCAACAGCTGTTACACAGAGCCCAGGTGACGCATGAACATCTGTTCACATCACAGACCTGAAGAAGCTGAGCCAGTGTCAAAACAAACAGCACACAGCTGCTTCCATCAGCAATCAGAGACTGAACTCTGTAAGAACTGGATTCATTTCTGGAGAAACTGAGCGTGGCGTTTGTCTGTTCATAACTCAGTTTCCGAACCATTCTTCTCGTCCTTCGATCTTCTGGCCTGTAGATGTAGCTTGGGTTCCTCTTTCAATGTGTGTCTGTGGGATTTTTAGTTTTTACCTGTTTTATAGTCCAGCAGGTGAAAAAAATGGTGCATCTGATCACTTTCTCTAGTGTTATTACAGTTAACTAAAGCTAAAACCATAAAAATGTTTTCCTTGAAATACAATAAATGTTAACTGAAATAAAATTAAATATTGAAAATTATTAAACTAAATGACAATGCGCATTTGATCACTTTCTCCTCAAGACAAGGGTATAAGAACTGGATTCATTTCTGGAGAAACTGAGCGTGGCGTTTGTCTGTTCATAACTCAGTTTCCGAACCATTCTTCTCATCCTTCGATCTTCTGGCCTGTAGATGTAGCTTGGGTTCCTCTTTCAATGCGTGTCTGTGGGATTTTTAGTTTTTACCTGTTTTATAGTCCAGCAGGTGAAAAAAATGGTGCATCTGATCACTTTCTCTAGTGTTATTACAGTTAACTAAAGCTAAAACCATAAAAATGTTTTCCTTGAAATACAATAAATGTTAACTGAAATAAAATTAAATATTGAAAATTATTAAACTAAATGACAATGCGCATTTGATCACTTTCTCCTCAAGACAAGGGTTATCATAGTTAACTGAAACTAAAAATAAAAATAAAACCATAAGAAATTAAAATATAAAAAAATATTACATAAAATGTTACAAATCGTATAACTTAACTTGATGTACTAAAATAACTAATAAAAAATATACAGACATACCTGATGTACTAAAACTTTAACTTAAAATGAAAAAGGAAATTTAAAAAATTCAAAACCAATTCAAACCATTAATAAAATTATATTAGTATCTCAATTATACTAAAATAATACTAATCATTTTTTTTGCTGTTTGTTATTTTTTATTATTTATATTATAGTTTATTTTTGTTTTTATTTGTATTATTTTATTATTTATTTATTGTTTTGCTAAAATGAGTTAACATTTTAAACTTAATTTTATGTTCAATCCACTTAAATTTGTATAATTTAAGTTACCTTAATTATTTTGTGTTGGGACTACAGCCTCCCTATATGATAATGAACGTAATGGTTTTTAACATGCCATTTTTACGTATTATCTGACAGAGGAACGTCAATCTTTTAAAATACCGTCTATAACCCCAATCCTTAAAAAACCTGGTGCAGACCCTAACAATTTAGATAACTTCTGTCCCATTTCAAATCTTCCTTTTATTTAGAAAATTCTTGAAAAAGCAGTTGCAGCACAGGTCCAAGCTCACCTTAGTAATAACAACTTATATGAGTGTTTTCAGTCAGGATTTCATCCCAAGCATAGAACCGAAACCGCCTTGGTGAGAGTAACAAATTATCTTTTAATGGCTGCTGATGGTGGGTCCTTATCCATTCTTGTTTTGCTTGATTTGAGTTCAGCTTTTGATACCATTTCACACAATATTTTGTTAAACCGTTTATCTGCTGTTGGTATCTCTGGTATTCCCCTCTCCTGCTTTACTTCATACCTTTCCAATCGTGCACAGTTCTTACAATTACAACGTTTTCATTCCCATCCCTTTTCTGTTTGCTGTGGCGTCCCCCAAGGTTCTGTCCTAGGTCCTCTGTTGTTCCTAATCTATCTTCTCCCACTTGGTAATATCTTTTCTAAATTTGGTATTAAATATTACTGTTACGCTGATGATACACAACTTTATGTATCTACTAAGCCTGATTCCATTCTTCCACCTATCTGCCTTATTAACTGTCTTCATGAAATAAAAACCTGGTTCTCCGCCAGTTTTCTTAAACTTAATGGCAATAAGACTGAAGTACTCCTTGTAGGCACTAACTCTGTTCTCTCTAGGTCCTGTAGTTTTTCTTTATCCATTGATGGTTCCTCCGTTTCTAGTATCTCTGGTATTCCCCTCTCCTGCTTTACTTCATACCTTTCCAATCGTGCACAGTTCTTACAATTACAACGTTTTCATTCCCATCCGTTTTCTGTTTGCTGTGGCGTCCCCCAAGGTTCTGTCCTAGGTCCTCTGTTGTTCCTAATCTATCTTCTCCCACTTGGTAATATCTTTTCTAAATTTGGTATTAAATATTACTGTTACGCTGATGATACACAACTTTATGTATCTACTAAGCCTGATTCCATTCTTCCACCTATCTGCCTTATTAACTGTCTTCATGAAATAAAAACCTGGTTCTCCGCCAGTTTTCTTAAACTTAATGGCAATAAGACTGAAGTACTCCTTGTAGGCACTAACTCTGTTCTCTCTAGGTCCTGTAGTTTTTCTTTATCCATTGATGGTTCTTCCGTTTCTCCTTCTGGCCAGGTTAAGAATTTGGAGGTCATCTTTGACAGCACTCTTTCATGGCACTAACTCTGTTCTCTCTAGGTCCTGTAGTTTTTCTTTATCCATTTTTGGTTCCTCCGTTTCTCTCGCCAGGTTAAGAACTTGGGGGTCATCTTTGACAGCACTCTTTCATTTGAAGCTCACATTAATAATATAACCCGGTCTTGTTACTTTCATCTCCGTAATATTGCTCGCCTTCGTTCATCTCTCACTCCACACAGTACTGTCATGCTAGTTCACTCGTCACCTCTGGCATCGACTACTGTAATTCTCTTTTATTTGGTTTATCACACAAGCTTCTCCATAAACTCCAGTTGATTCAGAATTCAGCTGCTCGTATCATAACCCGGACTTACCCCATCTCTTAAACAGCTTCATTGCTTCCCATCAAATTTCGCAATGAATTTCAAATTCTTCTTCTCACGTATAAAGCTCCATAACCTTGCTCCAACTTACCTCTCAGATCTTATTCAGCCCTACACCCCTTCTCGAACCCTTCGTTCTTCCTCACTGGGTCTTCTCCATACACCCACGGCTCGTTTAACCACCATGGGTCGTAGAGCCTTTAGCCGTGCTGCTCCTCGCCTTTGGAATTCTCTCTCAGCTAACATTCGCAACTTAGATTCGTTATCCCAATTCAAGGCTAAACTCAAAACTCACTTATTCAGAATAGCGTATCCTACATGATTACTGTCTACACAAATCGCTAATTTTTCTTTGCTCTTCTTTTCATAGTTCATTGATATTATTTATTGCGGTTTTATTTATTGTTCATGATGTACAGTGACCTTGAGTGATTTGAAAGGCGCCTTAAATAAAATGTATTATTATTATTATTCTATTAAAGGGATAGTTCACCCAAAAATGAAAATGTGATGTTTATCTGCTTACCCCCAGTGTATCCAAGATGTAGGTGACTTTGTTTCTTCAGTAGAACACAAATTATGATTTTTAACTTTAACCGCATCAGTCTGTCAGTCGTATAATGCATGGCAATGGTAACAAAATCTATGAGAGTAAAAAAAAACATGCACAGACAAATCCAAATTAAACCCTGCGGCTCGTGACGACACATTGATGTCCTAAGACACGAAATTTGCAGTTAAACGGTAGAAATGAAAGGCATTCAGAAAGTGTCGAAGTTCTTTTTGCTGCTTCTCTTCGGCTGTGAGGTTGAAGGGCAGAGTTGAGCTCTTACTGAAGCAAGGGAAATGCCATTCCCATAATGCACCAGAAAATGAAGATTTATGTTAGCCCTAAAGCGGCAACATACAAAAAAATTGATATAAAATTAAAAAAAAGAGCAATTTTTTTTATAAAGGTCTTAATGTTTAATGGGCTAAATCTCATTTCCACGTTGTAAAGCTTCATGCCTTTCTTCAAATTGCACTTGGAGAATTTGTGAATCCTTGTGTGCATTTATTTAGAAAAACTATGAGAATAAATCGCCCACGCGTCAGGCAAACCGTGCAATAAACCTTCAGCTTCAGTTTGCATTAATTCAACAGTACAAAACAGAAAAGGGTCATTTGTGTCAAACAGGAAGCCAATGTTATATAAAACTTATAGATGCATGTATAAAAAGCTTGAAAAGTGAGGATGTATTTGACAGAAGATTAACTAAACTCCCAAAATGCAACTGAAGCTACCACAATGAAAAAAGAAAATGAGGAAATGCATACAGGGGAACTTCAAGAAATAATTCAGCCTAACATGATAATTATGCTATTTACTCACCCTCATGTCACTCCAAACCTGCATGGACGTTTACAAAGATATTACAGCTTATGGTCAGTCATATGGACGTTGTATGGGGTTTTTATGGTGCTTTTTTGGAGCTTGACGGACTATAAACATGCATGTAAAAGAGCAGCATGAAGACTCCTCTTTGGTGTTCATCAGAAGAAAAAAAAAATGATAGCATGCAGGTTTTAAAAGAATAATCCAGCCAAAAATGCAATTCGTCATCATTTATTCACCCCTGATGTTGTTCTAAACCGGTTTGACTTTCTTTCTTCTGCAGAAGACAAAAGGAGATAAAACCGTTTCAGTTCCCATTGAATGTTCAGCTTTTGCATTCAGGTTGGGAACCACATGAGAGTGAGCAAATGATGGCAGAACTGTAATTTTGGGGTGAACTATCTCTTTAAATGACACGAGTGTGACTAAATAATACCAGAATTCAGATTTCTCAGTGAAATATTACTTTAAAAATAATAAATGTGTTATGCACATCATTTCCTTCACCTGCACAGTTACTTGCTCTCATATCAATCTAGTTCTGCTCTTTAACCCTTGAGAAATCTGCCTCAAACACACACACAGCGCCCCCTCACGGATAGTGTGTTAACCGTGACTGAACTCACTCCATCAGCACAGACGCAGTTTCCCGTCCTCATAGAATTTAGATCTGTACAACTTGATTTAGTATCAAAGCGAATCAGAAGAAGCAGCTCGAGCACTGCAGCGGAGCAGCTTTAGTGTGTCCAGGCCTCAGAACGGGACCGTCTTTGATTATAAAGACGGGTTTATCTCCAGAATCTTCTGCCCTCGCAGGAAGGTTTTCCGGCTCTTTCTCCCCAAGGCTGACGTGGTCTAAACTTCATCGTACACTGAGTCCAGCGCTATTTCACAGACAGCAGCAGATTTATCTGGACGGCAGGAGACAAAGAAAGATTCAACTTCTATTGCACAAATGTACTTATTTCATCTTTGATTATAAAATGGATATTTAAGGCCCTCCCAGCTAACAGAGAACGCTCTCAGCATGTTCTAGCAAGATTCTCTCAAAGTTCTAAACAAACGTTCTTCAGTAACGTTAACGGAACGTTCGTTCATAACATCCTCAAAACAATAACATTATTTATACATCATTTTCTCTCAAATTTATGAACATGCTTTCAGTAATGTTAGTAGAAAATTTGTCCAAAGTTATCTGGTCTTTGATAACGTTCTCTAAACATTAGCACAAAAACATTATGATTATTAATAATTTTCTCTCGGTTATGAACGATAATTTTTCCAGTAATTTTAGCAGAACATTCGTTCAACGTTATCTGGTCTTCAATAATGTTCTCTAAACGTTTGCACAAAAACATTATTAATACATTGATCACTGGACGTTTGTCTAACATTTTTTAAACTTTACTACCAACTAGTTACTGTTTGCAAAATGATCAAATTGAGCATTCCCTTAATGTTTAATAACGTTCTCAAAACATTACCACAGAAACATTCTTTATACATCATATTCTCTCAGTTACACTACCAGTCAAAAAGTTTAGTGTAATATTGTGAAATATTTTTACTATTTAAAATAGCTGTTTTCTATGTGAATATATTATAAACTGTAATTTATTTCTGTGATCAAATCTGTATTTTCAGCATCATTACTCCAGTCTTCAGTGTCACATGACAGAAATCATTCTAATATTCTGATTTGCTGCTCGAGAAACACAAACAAAACAGTCGAGATCTCATGACGGAACCAGATTGACAAAAATAAGCAAAACACTGGGCAGAAAATTTATCTTTTTAACAGAGAAGCTCTGATTTGGGGATTTGCACTCTTGATATCTGGCAACCGCAACACATGAAAGCTCGAGTCGTACAGCCGTCCAACAATATTTTGTCCTTTTTTCTTTTATGAAAATTAAAAGAAATTTTGGTATAGTTTTTATTTCTTAAAGGTGCTGTATTGTAAGTTTTTGACTCTATTAAAGCATAAAAATACCATAATATGTTTGCAGATATTTAAGAAACATGCCAAGTTAACATATTTGTTTATCTGAAAAACAATGCTACAGGCAAGTTATTCTTCTTTGAAAATGTGCGTTCCGGGCCGGAATGTCGGTCTCTGTTTTGGTTTGTGAAACCCGCCCACTGCCAGTTTACCCAACTGTATTTCGGCACACCGGGTTGCCAGTTGGTGGGAAACACAGCGCTTTTCATTTCAGTCCTGGAAGCTGGCAAACAAAAGGGGTCAGAGCGGGAAATATAACTTTCTGCCCATCCTAAAAAGCCTCGACATCCATCCCAAAAATTTTTTATGATCAACAACGGTATAATAATAGCAGAATAAACATTGGAGATGCGTTTGAGAGATGGTTGCTGGTGTAGTTAATCTGGCAACCTGCGTGTGCATCAAGGGACCGGGTGAAAAAAATCCTCTCCAATATTTTGAATTTGGACTGCAATACCTAGTTCAACCACTTGGTGTCAATCCTACATACAGCACCTTTAAAATTAATTTTAGTCCCGTCTTTTTTCTTCAACGATATTGCATGTTGATATAGTCACAGCTATCGTTTATTGACCTTATTGTCGTCTCGTCATCGTCTCGCCTTACTCATGGGAAAAAAGCTAGTCAACGAACATTTTTCGTCATACTTTTCGTTAACTAAATTAACACTAGTGCGGAGGTTTGGACGAACATTTTATGGTCCTACGCCTTCCAAAGACGATATTAGGGCTGCAGCAAATGATTATTTTGATAATTGATGAATCTAGTGATTATTACAACGATTAATAGTAAGCTTTGTTCTATTATTCTGCTTTTACAATTAGTTAAAATATTGGGTTACACATTCTAACTAATGAATAAAAAACAAGGTCATCACTTCAGATTCTGAAAGTGTCAAACAATTATATTACTATTGTACAATTATTTTTTACATGGAACAAGGTAAGTGATTCATCCAGTTTATTTTTGGATAAATTATTTTATTCAAAACATTATTATAGAGTTATAGTAATCAAAACAGTCCTGAGCTAGATCAAGCTTCAATCTATGCAAACGAAATGATCACTTTAATGTAATAATATGATTTATTTATTCATGCACTCACTAATAAAACGTTTCTATCATTAGCTAGCTCCACACTGGAGAGCTGCTCAATAAGAGAAATTCAAGCTGTAATTCTAACTGAAATCGACATGTTTAATACTGCAAAGCTGCGTGCTTTAAATCAATCTATTGTATAAACGAACGTGATGTGACTAGACGTGACTGGAGTGGGTTTAAAAATATCCACATCGCTACGATCAGATGCTTTCTTAACTGCGGTTTTCTCACCGCTCTCATTTTTGTTGTGTTTATTTTGTTATGGAGAAGGAAATCGCGCAGCACATATTTACATATCCATCTAAACGCCGCTCTCAGCAGCGTCTGGTTCGGTTGCGTTTACACTCAGACTCTCTTAAGCCCCTTGTCTTCTCTTGAATTTCATCCGGGAGAGTTGAATTACAGTCTTGCGATACAGCGCCACACTGGTCAAACCGTGTTACTGCAGGCTCTTACATTAGGTCATATGACAAACCCTCCAGTTTTTCGCGATCGCTGAATCCAATGCAAAATCAGCAACATGTTGCATTTTTTTGCAACCCTCATAATGAAAAAAAACCCTTGATTTTTGCAATTATTTTGCGGTGAATTCGCCATTTCACCACAAAATAATTGCAAAAATCAAGGTTTCACGAAAAAACTAAATTATCAGTAAAAAAGAAAAAAGGCAAACTTTTTTTTGTGGTGAAAATTACCACCACGAAATCAGACATTTTGATTGCAAAATCACAAAAAAAAATTCACGAAATTCTGGAGGGACTGATATGAGATCAAACGGCTACTCAACAACAATAATATCTGTCTGCAATTTTTTTGTTGTCGATAAAGTTGACTAATCGTTTCAGCCCTAGACAATATAAATACATATACATATATTTAGACCACTTAGCTTAGTGATTCCTATCGGGATGTGATTGTGTCGAGACTTTCAACAAAAAATGTTTTTGAACCAAATCACCTACCCTGCCTTTAATGTTTTCTCTAAGGTTCACATAACTAAGAAAAAACATGTAACAGAAAACATTATTCAGAAATAACGCTTTCGTAACGTTCTTAGTGTGTGTTAGCCGGGCTGGATAAGCACCTGCTCCATGGAGGGACAGGCGATGATCTGCAGGTCCTCGCCGCTGTACTCCTCCTGCAGTAAGGCATGCAGTCTCTGGAACACCTGATGGATGTTGTTCTGAAACGGCATGTGATTGATCAGATTCAGTGCAGCTTTTCTTGTCATTATCCTGCTGCGTGAGCATTGCATTATGGGCAGCTGACCCTTTGCTTAGCCCCGCCTTAAAAAGTTACTGACCAATTCTATAAGACAAACGTTTTGAGTGTTCACTCTATTCTCAAGGAAGTCTATGAACGATCGGTGTGTTTTCGGATTTAATTTGAATTTTACTGAATTTCACGCTGAAAACTTATCGGTGTTGTTATCGGTAATTACGACTAAAACTAATAATACAAAAAAAATTAATTAGTTGAAATAAACATTAAAACAACAAACAGAAGATAAAAAAAAACTTTCTAAAAGATAAAAAATAAGAAAACAATTAAATCACACAACAAACTTACTAAAAAGTTAATGTTACAATTATTTTAGTTTTTAAAACGAATTCAAAATATTCATATTATTAATAGGGATGCACGATATTATCGGAACGCTATCGAAATCGGCCGATAATGGCTTAAAATGTAAATATCGGCATCAGCCCGTTATGATAAATTATGCCGATATGCCATTCCGATAAGATGAGCAACTCACATGTGCTCAGGGTGTGCTAGCGATTAGATCACGTCAGCAGTGTGGTCATTCTTGAAGCTAACTCTTTCCTGAATGATGATTAGATTCACTGTTTTGAGCATTTAATCTGAGAATGCGAGTACAGAATGATGTGTCCGGTGTGCGAAAGAGTCGAGTTACTAGCATGTGCAGCAGCAGCAGCAACAGCCTCCCCCGGGTCCTAATGCCCGTCCGGCAAGGTCTTTTATTTACTTAGGGGGCGCTGTTGGCCTACTTGTTATAAAATGAAAGTAAAATACACAAATAACATTAAGATTGTGTATATATTGTGTAAATATTCAAATAAAATGTTAAAGATTGCTTTATAGTTATTTTCAAAGTGTTCAATGTACTCTCATTATAAAAGAACTGTTGTTTATTTAATTCTCAAAAGTAAGTTTTTTTTTTTTTTTTAAACCAACATTTTTTTTTAAAAATTTGTTTATAATCTCTGCACAGGAGAGAGTTGGGTGTTGTTTTCGAACAAAAGGAAATATATCGGTATCGGCTAAAATGAGCTGGAAAAAATATTGGGATATCGGCAAAAATTAGCTGGAAAATATCGGCATATCGGATATCGGCAAATATGAGCTGGAAAATATCGGCATATCGGATATCGGCAAATATGAGCTGGAAAATATCGGCATATCGGATATCGGCAAATATGAGCTGGAAAATATCGGCATATTGGATATCGGCAAATATGAGCTGGAAAATATCGGCATATTGGATATCGGCAAAATTCCAATATCATGCATCCCTAATTATTAATATTGTTTAATATTAATAAATGCTAATTAATACGTACTAGTACACACTATTAATATTAAATATTAAGACATTATAGTAATGATATTAAATAACACTGGCTGAAAATATCAACTTAATTTCTATGGGATGTTCTGTACAATGGAGCAGAGCTTAGCAAATTGTCAATTAAAAACCCAGACTTGATTAGATAATTAGTATTTTATGATTAGGTTTAAGAAAAACAGACTTGTAAATAATATGAAGAGCTGAAATGAATCAACACAGTCAGATGTTGGGTGTGATGCTCACCCTGACGGGCTTGAACAGGATGAACTCCGTGTCCTTATTGGCTAGATATAAAGACATGCTTTGTAACGTGATGGGCAGCTTGTTTTTTAGTATCCGATAGGTGGCCATCACAATGTCGTTAATTTTGGCTAAAAGTGCAGAAAATACATCCTCATTAAAAAGTTCAAAACAAAACAGCACACTCAGTCATACAACTCTGTTTCTGAAATAAATGTCTGCCTCATTATAGTGTAATTGCATGAATCTGTCAAGATTATGTGCGGGTAACATTTCACCCCAAAATTTAAAGAAAAAATATATTTTACATAATGAAAATGAAGCATATGGATTTTTCTGCACATTTTCACACTACATTCTCATTAGTGCAATGCAGAAAAATCTCATTACTCTAATGCAAATAATGTAAATAAAGAATGTATATTATGGTAGTGTAGTGCATTAAATTTATGCTAATTTAAATTAAATAAACAATTTTAAAAACAACAAAAATATATACCCTTTGCATTATTAAATTCAAAAATATTTTTAAATACAATATTACAAAATATTAAATATAAAATAAAATGCTATTTTTTTTATATATATATACATATATATTTATATATATATATACACAGTGGGTACGGAAAGTATTCAGAAGTGCTGTCAAACGATTAATTGCATCCAAAATAAAGTTTTTGTTTACATAATTTATGTATGTGTACTGTGTTTATGTATTATGTATATATAAATACACCCATACAGTATATATTTTGAAAATATTTACATGTATATACATTTATATTATTACATTTCATATTATATACAAATATATTTAATACATAAACAACATATTTTTCTTAAATATATACATGTATTACATATACATAAATAAACAGTACACACTCATATTATAGAAACAAAAACTTTTATTTTGGATGTGATATATATATATTTTTTGTATTTAAGTTATGTTATAATATATATATATATATATATATATATATGTTTTTATAAGATTCAAGCAATCTTCTTTCTTGGTTCACATTAATATCAATATATAAATTTACAGTCTATTAGCCTTTTACACGTCGATCAGTGAAATTCACACTTCAACAATATAAAAGTGTTTCAAGCTGTGCAGCAGATCATTCAGTGCAATCAAACAGATAATTAGAGCTAATTATCAGATGATTAGAAGTTGATGAAACATTTAATTCGTGACTCACACGGCTGAGCCCAGGGCTGCTGCGAGAAGTTGTACGTCGGTCCTCCTTGAACAGCCATCGTTTTTAAAGCTCCTACCTGTTATTATAAACATCAAACTGAGGTGATCACACTATTTAAGACAAAACTAAAAGATTAAATAAATAAAACCACATTTTAACTTGAAATAGTTCAATAATCCTAAAAATAAAGCCATTAAGCTGGACATACGTCTTCAGTATGCACCGTCACATTTGACATAAATGTGTCTGTCGACCAGTGCTACATTACTTACTAATCAGTCTTCAAACTTCAGAAGAACACGCTTGGCTATACATCTCAGTTTGTGCAATTTAATGTTTGCCTCATTATGGCCTAATTGCATGAATCTCACAAACTCTGTCAAGAATATCGGCCCCAAAATTGATTTTTTTCACCGCAAAATTGAAGGAGAAATGAAATGATATTTTACATAATGAAAATAAAGCATACTTTTCAGTACCAATAAAAATTCCCCTCACTAAATTCTCATTAGTCTAAAAAATGCACACACACAAAAACACAAATAATGATTTTATATCATGGTAGTATCTAGTGCATTCATTTATGCAAATTTAATTGACATGAAACAATTTTAACATCAAAAATATATACAGTTTGTATTACTAAGTTAAAAAAAATCTAATATTTCTTAAGAAAAATAAAACTTGTATAATGTATAGGGCTGGGTATCGAGTTCGATGCTTTTTAGGCACTGATACCATCGAGTATCAAAAAACATCTCGTCGTTCGGTACCAAATTTCGATACCTAAGGGGTTAATCTCATCAGCGTCCGTGGGCCAGTAAGCATGCAGCACTAGATGTGCTCGACTAGAAGCGGCGCGGTGCAGATCGATATGTGTTTGACATCCGCCAGAGCGATTCGAAAGCGTACGGAGCAGTCTGCTCTCTATAGCTCGAGGTACTGTAATACACCGATCGGTCTGCACAGTCAGTCCGCGTATACATTCAGTCGAACACACCTACTAGTTTACACCAGATTCGGGTGGGAAGCGTGCAATCTGTGATTACGTGCCATTGCAGACGCTCGCGAAAGCATGCAATCGCTTTCTTATGCGCGCTGTTTGTACGGTTTCACTTTCGAAATCGATTTACATTCCGCTTTTACTCAAAACTCACTTTAAACCACCATCGAGTGTTTGTAATAACTTCCGATTGCCGTCTAATGTGCGTTTTGGCCATGTAATGTTGCTGAAATTAAATACGTACCTCTGAGTCAGAGCAGCGATCATAGAAGAGCGAGCACAAGCAGACAGCGCTGGTTTCGCTCATCAGCAAATCAGTGGAAAATAAATAGAAATCATGATTCTGTCTGAGCTATGCGTTTTAAAACGAACACGCACTAGTGTAAATGTAGCTAACAGATGTGTAAACTGAAGACTATTTGAGTTTTATTAAAACTGTTTGCACTTATTGTGTTGGTTAGCTTACATTTACATTGTGCAGTGGCTCAGGAGATGAGTCTTTGAGTTTGTATAAACATCAACAAGCTGAAAAAAATTAAGCCAAGTTTTTTTTTTTTTAGATAATGTAATCTTGATTTCATAAAATTGGTATCGAAAAAAAATATCGTTCAGGAACCGGTATCGAAGTCAAGGTATCGGTATCGAACCTTAATAAAACTTTGGTAACACTTTCTATGAAGCCCGTATTTATTATGCATTAGAAGAGTATTCTTAAAATCATTATAATGAATTATATGTTGTATCATCTCATGAGTAACCATAACAACAGTTTTAATGCATTACAATATTTACTTATTTATGGTTACAGCTTTTAAGAGTATAATGATTTATAATACACAATGAACACAATGCATCCACTTACAATGGATTATATTTCCCATAGTTATAATGCATTATAAATCTCATATCTTGCCATTAACTTGTTACTTTACTTAAAGCAGACAAAAAAAAAAACACTTATAAATAACAACAACATTAATAATAATTTTTTTAAATTTTTTCTTAAACAGCCGAAAGATCAGATTTCTAATCAGATGAATGTGTAATAGCACATTTGATTTAAAATATATTTATTGCATACTGTACAGATCTTAAATGACGTCAAGATATGAGACTTATAACCCATCATACATTAAGTGGGTTTAACATGGTGTTTATTGTGTGTTATAAATAATCATACTCATAAAAGTTTTATAATGCATTATAATTGTTATGATAATTTTTTGAGATGAAACAACATATTATGCATTCATTATAATGCCTTAAGAATACTCTTATAATGTGTTATAAAAATGGGCTTCATAGAAAGTGTTACCAAATCTTTCCATCAAAATAAAACGCATATTATACCCGTTTACCTGCCTGTGACCATGTGAACAATATGTAATCATAGTCTGATTACAAGTATTTAATTTTTGGAATCCAGATTACATGTAATGGGTTACTACCCAGCAGTGTTGCCGACCCATAATGCTCTGCGGGAGTGAGAATTTCCCAGTGAATCCTGACCTTGGTGAGAAACTCCTCCAGGTTTCCCACAAACATGTGCGTCTGCTGCTGTATGAACTGCTCACAGCTGGACTTCAGGTGCCGGTCCACGTCTTTCTTCGAGTCGATGTAGTGCTCTCTTATCTGCGGCGTACCCTGGTGTGAAAGCATTAGCGTATGATGAACCGTTAACCATTCACTATGGATCGGGAGTCAGGTGTGAGGGTCGGAGACTCTGAAGAGCATTAAAGACCCACCAAATGGAATGAATAAATAAATAAAGCTACATTACCTCCAGTAGGAACTCAAGGATAGCGTTATGGCTGTTCAGACGGAAGAACTTGGGCACAGCCTTGGGGTTGAAGATTTTAAAAGCAGCGTCTGAGGACGGAGAAAAGCAAATGTTGTTATGCCCTCTGGTGGCGCTTTACTGACATTACACATACATTTCATCAGGTCACAGTCATTACACACTGCTGCTCATTCACAAACTTAGCTGTTATAAACTCACTGTAAACCACGGTTCTTGGGGCTTATTGCTTTAATATGCAATTCATTGGGTTATTTTAATGAATTTTAATCCTGTATTTAAAAGAGGACATCCTGGGTTTTTCAAATATAACTTCCTCTACTTGGTTTTCAGAAGTCTTGACATCACATTTCAGCAATTTGGGTCAAAAATTACAGGCTTTGTAAATGACTTAAACTCACTTTAGCGTATATATAAAACATAGAACTTTTATTAACAAAACGAATAAAAATACACCATGCTATAAGGTATATTATTTCAAAAAGCAAATGTTTTTTATGGTTTTAGTTTTAGTTAACTATAATAACCCTGACTTTGAATTACTTTTATTTTTATATTTTCTGCTTTCATTTTCATTTTAAAGTTTTAATAATTTTGTTGTTTTTGTCA